TCCATCATCTTTGCAATGCTTTTGCTAGGCCCAAAAGAGCCGAGCAGAGTCAGCTGCACAAAGGTCTTGCCTTCAGATTGACAGATCTAGGAGCAGGAGGTCCATGAAGATTTTCCTTCAATTACTACTTGAGATTGAAAAGTAAATATTGAAAAGCAGATTAATGCACAATTGAAATGTGAGAAATTCAGATTAGGAAAAAAATTCTACCATCAGGGCGATCAATTGCCTGGAAAGGCTGTGAAACCCCCGTCCTTAGAGGAATGTCCCTCAGCAACCTGATCGAGGTAGGCTTGTTTTGAGCAAAGAGTTGAGCTAGATGGCCTCTTGAGGTCATCTTCCAAGCTAAATTATGATACTATGATCCTACTGCACAGAGACAAAAACCCACGGATTTTGTGAACTGTATTTTCTTTAAAAGCAAGATATGTTATATAGAGGGGCATAGTTCCACAAATATCATGTCTTAGTGTCTGACTTTGATCCCCAAGTTTTAATCTTTCCCTGCCATATTGATTGATTTGAATGATCCTGCAGGAAACCACTGGAGAACAAAACTGTACAGATTTTGAGTAAGTTTTTTATTAATGAATGGATAAAAGTGTATTGTTGTGGGAGCACAGGAGTACTTTCTCTTTTTTCCCCTTCTACTTAAGTCCTTTCCAGCATTCCCAGTTGTCATTTTGATACTCTCCACTAGGTCTTTCCTGTCCTGTGGTCAGGTTTCCTCCCTTGTACTTGCTCCATGGAGTCATTCCATTAGGAACCTTCCTTCACACCACGACCATCTGATTCCTGTTCCTATGAAATTTGCCTCCTCTTTTTGCAGGATGTTCATAAAGCCTTGGTGAATTTTGGTGGGAAATGCAAAGAGGCTGCACTAGCCAGTACTGCTGAATATAGGTTTTGTTCTTGTTCTCTCACTATTCTGAAGTCGTCATTGACTGTGGCTGTAGATTAAACTGCCCATAGCATCTCGATAGCAATAAATTCATGTTATAGGACTTGTGCTTTGAGGTGTCTCTCTTCTCTTGATCATGATGATGCCCCAAAACTTCAAACCCTAAATGACATTCCCATGTAATTCATATAGAAATTTTGAGTTCCTGGAGAATCTGTTTCTTTCCATAGTAAGAAACCATCAACATGAGGATGAGGTCTCTGCTGCCGTCAGAGTCTTCACTGGATTTTCCTAACTGGTCTCTGGGACTATGATGAATGTTTGTTGGTCCACATCAGAACCCCACTTGCAAGTGCCTTGCTAGGTCATACCCATCCCTTCCCTCCCTCTTCTGCAGCAGAATAGGACACCTATCCCCTGCCGTTGCCCCGATGCAGTAGACACGTGCTCCCGCATGACACTGGCGCAGCAGGGGTAACTGCTCACAAGGGAAAAAATGGGAAACCCTGGCTCAGTGTTTGAAAATCTCTATAGAAGGCGGTTTCCAGATCTTGCCCTTGTTCTGTTACCATACACACAAGAACAAACAAAAAAACAATCATTTCCAAAGTATAAATGAAGATACTATAAATTTAAGCCTGTGGCTATCTCTGTGCCTTGGTAAGTCTTGCTCTGTGCTGTACATAGGGCTTTTGTACTCTGACACAGTGATTTATGTTAGTGATATTATGGGCTTGGCCATATTGTTTGTGGTTTCTTGGATGATACGAACTTTAGCATATACAAATAGTGAGAATATGAGTTTGGTATAGGCATTGCCAATGCAAGGCTTGAAAATAGCCTCTATTAAAACTCAAAGAACATGCTATTCTCATTAACTGACTCCTGTTCCTTAAATTTGGGGGGTGGGGGAATTATATGAGAAAACAACTTGAAAATGAAGATTCTACCACATAATCCTTGAAAAACAAGGAAAGCTTGCAAGGAGAGATCTTTATTTCAAATGCATACACACATGACATTAACCAGCTGTGCTAACAGATACAGTGCCAGGAGCAAACTGTCAGATTAGATTGGGCTAATAAAACATTATTACTTTGTTAGGCATGGCTCATTGAACAGCCACTGCGGTTGTTGTAAAAAAGTCTCTTTTCAGTAAATTATTACCACTCAAAGAACAAGTTAAAGAAGAGATATTTAGGGTCAGTAAGACTTTTTGGTAGATAGAACTTTCCACTAGCATAACAGTAGTTTTCAAAGCTAGATTCTTAAAATTACACTCCTTTAAACCACAGCAAGGTACCTGGATAAAAAAATGACTTAACCAGTAAAATATCAAGCAATTTAATTTCTTTCAGGTATCTACCGTGTGTAAGCATGGAGAAAAGATTCTTAGGACATTTTTGTTTTGATACATAAAAATGAATTTAGAAAGCCTATTTCCAGCCATTCCAGTGTAAGAAGTTTGCTTTCCACATGATACAGAAAGCTATAGAAAATAAATACGTTCCACAATTATTCTCCAATCAATGGATACCATACATGCACAGAAATCTTTTAAGAGGTTAATGAATGCAATAAATGGCATCATATCCTTTCTTTACTGAGGTTTGAGAGTTGAAATATTACCTTTAAAGCTTTGCAATATCAAAATAGTAACACAACCATTTTCCTAATTATAACTGAACTGTATTTCTCCCTCACTCAGCATTTATCTAGTTTGGAGTGCTTTTTAGATATGTAACTATTAGGAGAAAAGTAAAGAAAATCTTGAATATATCTTAAAACTATGAATTGTGAAATTCTGTACCCTAAAGGCATGATTTTAAGGGCAGTCAGAAGCTGAACTCCTGCTGTTTCATGTCTGATTGACCTATGAATCTCAGTTGTATCTAGATTCAGTGAGAATCGCAGACCTAATTTGGATATGGTTGATCTACTCAGGCATTCATAAAGCAAATTTGCATGTCTGTGTTTATAGATGCAGTTTATACATAATCCATTCATAACTTTTTATCATTATGCACATCAGAGGGCTGTCACTGAAGTGAGGATTTATTCTGCATTGCTATGTGTTCTCATCAACCTAAGAGTCATTGTGAGGGGAGAAGGATCCAGCATAGCATGAACCATCGATCAAATCCTTGCGGAAAATCAGAAGAACAGATGTGCAGGTTCCTTTCCCTCCCTCTTCGAACATTTGAGGAGCTATCACTAGAATGAGGCTCTGCATCCCTTTACTTTGTAAGTGGGATTTAGCAGCCTGTTTCTAAAGCCGTACACAGAATACACTGGCCGGCATATATATCTCCTCACTAAACCAAAGCATGTGCACGTAGAAAACAGAGCTGGGCTCGGTCCTAACTTGAAGGTAGGAGTTGACATGCAATCAAACACATGGCTTGTAGCTGATGTCCAGAGACCAGCTAAACAGGTTAAACACACAACACCAGGAAACTTTACTTTTCCCCAGAGACTTGTAGCTCAAAGGCTGTCTGAAACAAATAAATTATTTATATTCATAAATTCTTGGTCAATTTTTCTTTCATGACCTTATCTAGTTGCTAACAGAAGCCATGTCAGCCTTTACTCTTTGCGATGCCCCCTGGAAAGGAGTTCCACCACTTCACATTTGTGTGAAATTCTGGGTTTTTTTTTTTTTGAAAGTGACACCTGCCATTAGGTGCTTCCCAGAGTTATTCTGGAAAATGATGCTCTGTCTTTTCCTATTCATTTTTGCTGGTCATAATTTTAAAGACATTAACATACACCTCCTCCATCACCTTTTTGCAAGGCTAGAGTTATAATCTATTCAGTAGTTCCTCATACTGAAATAACTTCATTTTTCAGCTTTCTTGTTGTCCTTCTGTGTAACTGTTCCAGCTCTGCTATACCCTTTCTGAAATGCGGGAGTAAAAGTTGCACACAGAATTCAAGCTGTAACCACACTGTGTAGTTGTACAGTGGCATAATGACGCTTTTTTATTCTCTATTTCTTCACAAATCATAAATTCCTAGCATTAAATTTGCTTTTTTAACCACTGATGAATACAATATTACCTTTCCAATAGAATTGTTTGAACATCAAGATGTCTTTCCTGACATCGCTCAGTAGGAAGACCAGAGCAAATTACTGTCTATGTAAAATTAGTATTGTTTTTCCCCATGAGTCTCATTTTACATTTGTCTACAACTTACCTTTTAGTGTCCTGTCACTCAGTACTATGAAATCTTCTGCAACTGTTAACATCTGGCTCCTGCCTTTGCTGCTTCAGATAACTTCATATCATAAGTAAAATTTGTCACTGTTTTCCACATTAGTTATGAATATATTGAAAAACACAGACCCCACACCAGTCTCTCTGGGATTCCACTAGTCATCTCCCTTCACTGTGCAAACTGAGAATTTATACTATTTTTTTCTTTCCCATCTTCTAATCAGCTATTTAGGTATATAAGAACATTCGATTTTATTCCATGGAACTGTAATTTAATTAAAAGACCTTGGTGAGGGCTTTGTCAGATGTGTCCTGAAAGTCAGCTACGTCAACTGGATAAACACTGTCAGGTCACCCAGTGACTCATTAAAAAAAAAAAAAAAAAAGGAAAGGAAAGGAAAAAACCTCCAATAGATTTACAAAACAGGACTTACTCTTACAAAATTGCGTTAACTCTTCCCTAATATATCCAGGTATTCCCTAATTCTATTCTTTGGAACATCGTCTATCAATTAGCTCAATACTGAGCTGAGATTTACTGATCTGTCATTTCCTAGACACATACCAAAATCCTTTGTGGAGATGGAAGGTTCTCATCAATGTATCTTACAGATTTTTATGCTCCATCAACTCACTCTCATCCAAATTTCAGTTTCTCATTATTTCAGGTAAGATTTAGTTCCAGTTAAACCTCTCACTGACGTTGCCTTGCTTGCTGGTTGAATTCCATGTTGTTATAAATTATTATTGTGTCTAAACTACAAATAAGGTACTGCTGTAGAGCAATAAAATGAGAATATGATCATTCTTATCCTC